CCCCGCTCAAGACAAGCGTGTAAGAAAATGAATGGAAAATATATGCAATATATATATATATATATATATATATATATATATATATATATATATATATATATATATATATATATATATATATATACAGTAGATGTAAAGCAGGAGGTTTGGAGATGCTACATTGTTGTAGTTTGTAGGTCCTGAATGAGGAAGGGAAAGCCACTGAGCCGCCATGTGATGGTCTGGGACCTGGACTTCATCACGTGCTCTGACCGCATGTAAAGCGTAGTTCACATTTGACTCAAACAAAAAAATTTAACTGCAGGCCATGGATAAATATATGCATATTGTGAGAAATCAAAAACTTTGTTTTGGGTCCTTTCTACGTGTATTTATTTCAGGTTAAATCAAACTTGATGTTACAAAATCCAAAAAGAATGAGTTACACAATCAAATCAATAATTTTATCTAGTTTAGAGTGAAAAGCATGAGTTTGAATGAACAGTTACATGTTACACTTTATTCAGTGCAGGGTCTCTGGGCTTTGCTGATAAGGCTGGTAGCAGATGGGAAGAAACTTCTTGTGGTGTGAGATTTTGGTCCTAATGGACTGCAGCCTCCTGCCAGAGGGAAGTATCTGAAATAGTTTGTGGCCGGGATGTGGGATGTGTCCTGAAGATTGCAGCCAATCACCTTCTCTGTAGACTGGATGACACGCTGCAGTCTGCCCTTATCGGTGACACCAGCGTACCAGATGGTGATGGAGGAGGTGAGGATGGACTCAATGATGGAGGAGTAGAAGTGCACCATCATTGTCCTTGGCAGGTTCAATTTTTCCAGCTGCTGCAAGTACATCCTCTGCTGAGCTTTCTTGGTGAGGGAATCGATGAGCTCTTCCTTATATACTACAATTGCTGGGTATAGAATGCAGCTGTGCAGTTCATCATTGCTGTTGGGCGGAAAACTTAATTTATAGAATTCAAATAAACTTTTTATGAATTAATATCCTGGTGAAGATCCTCAGTCATCCAGGTCATAGACATTCCAAAACAAAGTTTAAAACCAATACACTTTGTTTCCAAGTTTGAAGAAGTTTTTCTTCCCATCCAGGAAGCTTTCTCAATTCAAAATGTCAGAATTAGCGTTGAGTTTGAGGTTTTATAGAGTGGACCAGCATCGGGTATTGCAGGCTAACTAAAAACCCAAACGACCCTCATTCCAAAGGGGCTGAGCCATTCGGTTGGTTCAATTTTCATGTTTTCTACACAATAACAAGGCTTTGTTTTTGGTCCACTCTATAAAAGTCATGGGAATCCATACCTAAATTTAATGAATATGCTAACCAAAATGTTGGAATATTTAAAGTAAACATGGGAACGCTCCCAGTTTTTATGCACAAACTGAATATTGAGTGCGATCCAAATTCCTGCCAATCCCATGGTGATATTGATCAATATTTGGCTATGATGAAGCAAAACCAGTATATATTGTAACAGAGAGCAGTAAAAACACCTGTGACCTCCCCACACCATCAAACACTGCCCATACCTTCACACATTTAGATTACCCCTACAGTGCCACCAGTGGTAGAACAAAATACAGTCTGTCAATTCACATAATAACCAACTATCACCACCAAACCAAATCGATTTATTGAAACCAAATAAGATTGACCCCAACTATGGCCAAAAACAGATTTGATTTTGCTTATGCGCAAGACACTGTCTGGATTGAGTAATGAGCGGGTAACAGTAGAAAAGCTGCAGAGAGGTGTGTTAAACTATGACTATGCTTTCTGGTCTTTCATGATTCTTGGGGACTAATACAGTTTGCCAGATTCCAAGAAAGAAGAGCTGCAGCATCTAAAGGAGGATGGTTGCCATCTCTCCGAATCAGACCAACTTTCCTTTACCAAAAAGGAAAGCTTTAAGTCTATTTTTAAAAGTAGAGAGGGTGGCTGCCTCACTTGGAAGCACAAATAAAACCTACAGTTTCAAAGCAAAGGGCTCTCTAGCAAAAAAAGTTACAGTCAGAGATCTGTTTTATTGAGCTTGATCGTTAAGGACTTAACATGTGAGGAAGATAGTTAAGTCTGGTTTAAAGCTGGTCATTAGGAAAACTTTAAACCCGGCTCCATTTTAAACTACATGGAGCAACGTGTCCTTCTCAGATTGGAACAAACTCTCCAACTCTTTGGCTAAATGCAAAAATGTAGAGGAAAACTTACAATCTACATCCCCCTGACTCCATGTAGTAAGACAGATGTAGCAGTATCATGCTTTGGGAATAATTTGTAATATTCACCAGGAACAGGGAAACTGATCAGAAAAGTGAGGAAGACCAAGTGGAAAAATAGGCCAATCCCAGAGGAAATGTAGTCGGAAGCTACAGAAGGTGAATGGGGACCTATAACCTTCAGCAGGAAAACACACGTAGGAATAACATGCATACATATGAATATACTACAAATCTATATACATATTTCTCTCTTGAGCTACATATATACTCATTTGAAATACTGCACTAGATTTAACATTCAGAATTGCCTCAGCCATTTGCTCCATTAACCACCATGGGTCATGCAGCTGGTTTCTGATGTAGCTGGAAAACCAGTTCAAACCACTCATGAAGTCACTCTATCAGTATCATTTAAACAGCCTGTTTCCACTCTATAATCAGCATGAAGCTTGGCCTCATTCCCCAATTCAAGCCAATAGAAATAATCAGTTAAATTAGGGGATGTCATAGCCAAAAGAGATAATTAATGCCTCATAAACATTTGCAAGCCTATTTCAACAGGCCCATTTATCCACGTGGGGAAGGCCAAAGCGTTTAGACACAAACCAAAAGCACAGCTCAGCAGACCAAAACTCAGCCAGTACTTTAAGAAGGGTGAAACGAGGGCAGCAGAGAGCTCTGCCTCTCGTCTCAGACTGGGTATTATAGCAGCAGTTAAAGAGAGGTGGACTATTGATCTGCAGATAGATGCTGCCCACCAGAGGGAGGGGGTCGGGTGACATACAGGCTGTAGATGCTCAGATAAACAGAGATCAGCTAACAAAGGCTGAATACATTCCCTTAAGCCTTGGAAACCACCGATTGACAGGGAAAAAACGAGAATATGAAAGAACAGGGACTTCTGATGTGCTGTAAGCAATATTCTTTGACAACTACCATTCTAAAAATTAGAACAAAGGAAAGTATATCCAGCTCTTTTTATATTATTATTTTGTCTTTTTATTTCTGGAATATATATTTAATTAGAGGCAAACATCAAAAACTTGTATTTTACATGAGGAAATATCAAAAATGTTTCTCAAAGACATGGAAGGAGTACAGAGCGCGTACTCCTCATGGCTGGCGCGTTTTCGTTTGGCTGAGAGAAGATCCTCGTAGCCACCTCCCTTCCTCTGATATGATGCTGAGGCGGGATTGTCTCGATTCTTACCTTCAGACAATGGATGGTTGAGGAGTTTCCTGGATATTCAGCCAATCTACAGCATGAAACAAGCTTTCAGCCCCTGATGGTTTCACTGGTTGATTTTTGGTGAATTGTGCTTAGCTGGTCGGTTCTGGTTGCAGAAAGACATCATCAAACCATGACACTTCCATCTACATACCTTAAAGTTTGCTAAGAGGTTCCTTTGACTGTAGTGCTGCATGTGAGAGTCTGGTGGTTCTTATTCAGGGTTTATACAGGGATGAATAACTCAAATTTAATGCTCTTTTAATGTTCTTAGAAATAATTTTAATGCCACCAACAGGTACCCATTTACAGGCTGCAGCCAGGTCCCGAGTTCCTCGTTTTCCGACCCCTTTTGAAATTAGCTTTTTTCTCCCCATTCCCTAGCTTTATCTCCGACTCAAGCTTCTTTTCTAAACATGCAGCTCTGCGATCAACCGGAAGCAGTTCCACGCAAATATATCGTGATATATGTCTGACGAAATTGTTTTTACAATTTTATTTTTTTTTAAATAGAGTATTTTAAATGCCACAATAAACAGATTTAATAAATTTTGATGCCAATTAAGGCCTTAATTAAAAAAATAATAATTTAATGACTTTTAATGACAGGCGGAAACCCTGTTATTGCGAGTATTTCCAGGACATCCACCCAGAGGAACAGACCTTTATCTATAATAATGTTCGGTGATTGAGACTGGGTTTGTTTCCGCCTTCAGATTTGCAATATGCAGATAAGCCCATCTTTGTATTGAAGCTAGAGGAACATGCTAACTTTAGTCTGGATATTTACCAAAATATCCTGAATGAAAACAGTTACAGCTGATGGTAGAAAATTTAACAGAAGTGAACTGCAGATCAGGGATTACAACCCAAAAATAAAGTACTTGCTGCTGAAACCCAGTTCTCTAAAGTCCCATTTTCTTAATCTACTTTTATTCTCTTTTGTGAAATATTTATGAACTAAATGACTTTTTTCCAGCACAGCCTTTCACTTCCCTCTAGGATCAATGACGGATTTATGAAGTGAATTTAATTCTCCCATTTTGTGTGATTCTTCTGTTCAACCGAACCGAAGCCTTGAGCAGAAGAGCAGCCAGCAGAGTCACATGAAGCCAGCACTTCCAGAACATGCATACGCATTCATTGTTTCTGATTACTTTCGCTTTTGGACCTCAATAAAAACCGTATGAACTCAAAATATAAGAAGAATATGCATAAAATAAATAATAACCATTAAAGCGCCCAGTCATCCAGACTATTGGTCAATATTCATTGCTGAGGATATCCGGACTAAAAATCTGATTATAAGAGCTGCTTTTGAACACAGCTTTATTTCCTGCTGTTCTGAAGTTTGAGTTTCAACCTAAATGGAGACATTTTAATGAGCAGCTTTAAGATGGGAGTAGACTGTCTGCTGTTCATCTGTTGCACCTGAAGCAGAACTCAGACCTACCTGCCAAACGTCTGACGGTAATGAGCAACAGTTATAACCACATGGTTGAGTCCAAAGAGGAAGAAAAAGATCAAAATGAGACAAAACAATCACTTAGTTGGCCTAAAAGGGCCATAAATAAAATTTTATTCTCTCAAATTATTAACAAGCCACAGGAAACCTGCGGCTGTCTACCACAGCACTTAAAACATCTCATTCTGGCACAGTTCAGAAAGACATGAGACCATCTGAGATCCTCTGAGCCGCCCAGACTTCTGAAGGCTCTCTTCCTTACTTTCTTAGAAAAATAAAACATGGTAATACTGTACCAAACGAGTGGCAGAGAACCGGGGGTGGGGGGGTTATTAGTGTGGCAGGGGAAGCTGGAACCAAACAGCAACAACAATATTAACTATGAAAAACCTTGAAGCTTTTTTTGTTGCAAAGCTGAAGCGCGATGGGATTAATCTCACCGTTCCCCTCTCAGCAGTTTATCTCGTCCTCATCCTTCCTCTACTGTTCTTTTTAAACGAAATGTGAAATAAAATTTGTGATAAAACCTATAGCAGCAAAAGAGTAACAGAGGAATAAGAGCGTAAGCGAGTGACCCCTGGATTGATAAGGAAGGCATGGGTTCATAGAGGTCCATTGGTTTCTGGCCGGATGATGAAGGACAGTCTGAGCTCATCTTCCCTCGCTGGGCACCCTGCCAAGTGCGGCCATGATGCGGCCGAAGCGCTCACACAGCTCCAGCGTGGAGTAGCTGGGCAGCTTGGGAGGGTCGTGGAAGCTTTTGATCTCCGTTGAGCAGTCTAACAACTTGGGGAGGAAGTCTGTGAGCTTCTCCTGGAGGTTGGCTGGAAGCAGGGGGACAGAAACAGAGACGGTGAATAAACATCTGGGGCATCGCTGGAGGATTAGAATCCACTGAAATCACAAGGTAAATATTTACAAAGTCAGATCACATGAAGTTAGGAAGCATGTTCCACAGCCGAAGCCAAATGAGCTCAGTGGGACTGAACTGAGTCTGCTTTCCTGAACAAAGGCCTGATAACCCCACAGGCTGATAAACGCTTCAGGCCAAACTTTCCCAGCAACAACCAAGAATCACATCTGGATCTGACTCAAAACATTAAGGTTATTTTAATCAGATATCTGACTTACTCTGTATTAACCTTCAAAAGGAACACAAAGAATAACATGAGTCTCCTAAAGATCTGAACAGCAACACCAAATTTCAAAGCATTTTATTTGGATTCCCTAAATCACTAAAAGGATTAGTAAAAAAAAACTTCCAGCTGCTTTAGAAAAGGAATGTGAAATATGAAAGATTTACAGCTTCCTCTGGTTAAGAACAAAATAAACAAATGGCAAGTTTTTAAGTCTTTTCAGAGATGAGGATAAACCAACAGATTGCTTTAATTAGTCAGCTGTAATAAGGGGCTCCCTGTTCTGTGTTTGCTTTTTCAATTCAGATCAAACTAAAGGTTCGCTGATAAAAGGTGAAATGTGTTTCACCTTCTGATTGAGTCGTCCTTCCATTGCGATTAAAGACGATCCAGAATTCCTCCCTAGGCTAAAGATGGCCCCGGGTTCCCCTTTGGACACTACAGTTTTGAAATTAAAGCAATGGCCTAGTCAAAGCATGACCCTGAATTCACTTTAGAGTAAGTTGCAGATAAAAATGTTAACTGATGTTTTCCATCTGATTCTACCAGATTTGAAGCTTTTCTATAGAGAAATGAAGAGAACATTTCTAGACGTGCGTTTAGAGAAGAAAACAGTCATTTCTTTGCATTCCAGCTGATTTCATGGTGCTACAGGCCGATCATTGATTCTGCAGAACGGTTAGCTGATGGAGAGCTGAAGACTAACCAGCATGTTTGTCTGAAACCAGTTTAAATGGAAGAACAGGACTAACGGCTCCAATGTTCATTGTCCTATTGAGGAAATTTAATCCAGTTTCATTTTCATATGAGACATTGATCAATCTACAGAGCCTGCAATGGGCAGAAGAAGCTCTGCGTTGGGAGCATTGGAAGGAGGCTTTTTATTGGAGGCCATTTTCAGCAGGCAGTGATTATTGTTGCTGTCCTGCTACAGCTGTGGGAGTTCCTTTTAAAATGAATCACTGTGGTTCATCCAGTAGACCAATGGTCTTTGATTTTAGTCCAGCTTCCTGAACATTTTAGATGTTTCTCTGCTGTTGGAGCAAAATGTTCATGAAGCTGAACCACAACGACTAGAATGGAAGTAACTGGAAATACGAGGAGGTAATGGAAGCACAGGGGTGCCTGGTAGAAGGCTGTTTCAGAAGGATCTGCTGCCACACTCACCACTAGTAAGGATTTTAGTTTAGAAATATCATTCCCATGGATAATAACCATGTAGAGCAGCTAAAAGGGACACTTGCTACTGATTGGATGGTTCTACTGCTCTGATTGGTGGTTTCAGATCCATTTCTTACTGCATTTCCTGTTTCCTACTGCACTGAAAATCATCTCCATCATCCAGGAAAAGTCAGACTTAGAGGCTGAACCAGAGTCTTGGTGGAGTGTCAGACCCATGAAGTCTACAAACTCATCCTGACGGACTCACCTTCCATCTCCTGGCCCAAGTAGGAGCACCAGCGGTTCCTCATGTCCTCCACAGCCAGCAGGTCCTTCTCCGTTTCCTGAGCTAGCAGTAGAGGAATACACGGCACCACCAGCTCGTTCATTATGCCCAGGCCTGTGGTCACCTCTGGCTCCTCTCCCGTCTCAAACATGGCAGCCGCTTGTTCATTTAATTTCTACACACACAAGAAGGAAACTGATGAGTTCAAGTTGAATAAGTTGGATACAAACTTCAACAGTCAGTTGGCTCCAGCTGTAGCTTCAGCCACTTTATGAACAGCTGAATGGTTCAATGCACCCTTCCTCTCTACAGCTCTTTATAAACAAAAACTGATGATGAGTGAGGGCTGCTGCTCTTCCAACCCGCAGATTTTGGATTTATTTGAAGAAGGCGGAAAGTTAAGAGGCTTTCTTTAGGCCAGCTGACCAGCAATGAGCAGCAATAAGTAGGGAAGGGGTAGCGCAGCTTTACTGGTTTGAGCAACATAGCTGCATAAACTCTTGCTCTACCTCCTTACAGATGGTCACCCCCTCCCCCTCTCTGCGCTGCAATGAGGGATTATTCTGAAAGGAAAATTTGCATCAAGATTTCTTTTTACCTCGGCTAAAATGATATTATGTTAAACGATTTCAGTCCAATCTTTGGCCAAACCTGCGGTTTTCAGTACTGGTTGATGTTTTATGGTTATAAAGTGTGACCATGTTGAGTGTTAATTTAAATAATGAATTTGAAAAAAATCATGTGAAAAGGTGGATCAAACTAATCTGGATTATGAAGGAATCTGAGGTGTTTTCTCTCTGGCCTTCAGCCTGTCTGGATGGAGCGCTCCGATCCAGCTGTGCTGCCACGGACGGAGCGCTCCGATCCAGCGGTGCTGCCACGAACGGAGCGCTACGACCCAGCGGTGCTGCCACGGACGGAGCGCTCCGACCCAGCCGTGCTGGATCTGATAATCCAGTTGACAGAAAAGGTTTGAATGTGTAAACATAAAGAGAACGAGGAGAAGCTCCTGTAGCTCACATTAGCTGGATTTATGGCTGAAACACTTCAAAATAATCCTGATTAATCGCTTATTGAATTCATTGTTAACTAATTTAGTAATTCATTAATTATCAACTGTAGTATAGACTGTAACGCATGCTTTTAGCTGACAGAGCAGACATTAGACCGAAAATTATGTATAAATATTTAGCATGTCTGTCAATATTCTTTTTTTTCCTTTTCTCCTACAATGTCTACATTTGATCACTGCTGTGCTTTAAGAAATGAAAATGTCATGAGAGCTGTACTAAACGAAATTTCATTTTGTATACACTGTGTATACAAAATGACAATAAAGTTTGTCTAAGTCTAAGTCATTCAGATTTCCACATGTAGAAAAACTAACAGATTAATTGATTAGCAAAGTAACTGTTAGTTGCAGCCCTCGCTGGATTGGTCTATAACTGATTACTGCTTTATCCACAGTAGAATCAGAAGATGAGAAAATTCAATCTGAATGTTGTTTATGACCTAAATGCTGGAAGAAATATTAGACTGATATACTTTGTCAGCGTTTGTTAGCATGTATTTATTTTGTCTGCTGCTAGAGATGTTTTTCATTTCCTTTATTAGATCTGGGACTAAAGCGGGTCTTGAAATTCTTGCCTGAATGCAGAAACAAGCTCCTCTCTGCGTTCTTGGCCTCTAAGCACGCCGCCGTCACACACAAACTCACTGACCTCCTCTCTGAGGAGAGACGGTTTGGAATCAGGAGCTGCGAGGCTGGATTTGTAAAATTTCCAACCCCATTAACTGTGTCAACGTTAGCTGTGTTTTCAATTAAAACAAGAGCCGAAGGTAAACAGCTGCCTGGACAGAGCCAGAGGTTCTGGCCCTGGATCTGAGCTGACCGCTCCTGGCTGAGGGTCTGAGGTTAGCTGAGGACACGCTTGTGACTCATGGTAATGTGTTTACACTTGCAGGGCCTCCTGCTTCCTATTCCCACTACAATGATTACATTATGAGCACAATGCTGGTGTAAGGTTACCGAGTGCAGCGCAGAGAGAGCCGAGGACAAAACGGATAAGACCGAAAACCAGACTCCAACCAATAATGCAGGAGCACAGGCTGCTTTGTGGGAGGGAAATGAAAAGAGGCTCACATCGCAGCACTGAAAGGATTTTCACCAATTAGCATCAGATTTTAAAAAAAACTTCAGTGGAATCTTTTGTGGGCTTCAGGCAAGCCAAAGCAATATCTCAGTGAAAGCAATCTGATGATAGTAACCAAGCTCATCGCTGAGGGGGAAACATCCAGCTTTGTTAGTTTTGCTGAGTCACTTTAGCAAAGGCGGTCTGATGAAGAGGAAAGGGAGTAACAAAGAGGAGACGGGGATCAGAGGGAAGGACTACTTAAAACAAAGATTTCTGTGTGCAGATAATGTCCTCGATTCAAGTCATACTCTAAACAGGATGAAACATGAAAACCTCCGGCTCACCAGCAAACACTCTCTGCGGTAATATCCCAGGAACTCCTCGTCATGTCCTCGGTACAGCCCTTTCACCAGAAGCTCCCTGTTGTACTGGTACGAGTAAATGAGATACATCAGGGCCTCCACGTAACTGCAGAAGAAGACACAAACAAATAACCCCGTCAGATAAAGCTGGACCAAAGAAACATCCGAGTAAAGAACTCAGTGACCCCACTGCACAACTGTTCATCTGGGAGCGGCTCTCTGTGAAATGGTGCCCCCTGCAGGAGAAGCTGAGGTGATGGAAATTTAGCTTTAATGTGTCTGACTGAGATGATTGAAAACATGTGAAACGCCTCCTGAAGATCAGGGATCTACCTCATCTGCCCTCCTGCTTCAACACTAAACCTGACAGGATTCAGACATTCTCTGGATTGCAAACTTTCCCAGTCACAGACTCCAGAGCTCCAGGATTTATAATAAAAAACATTTCTACATATAAACAGTTACTTTAAATAATCAGGATTAACATTTGAAACCTGCAAAGATATGAACTGATACAAAAATGTTAACAACATCCACCTAATTCAGAGTAATCCTCGCCTTTTTGCAAATGGAAAAGCAAATGACTAAGGTCCCGTAAGCCCAGATTATGTTCGATACGTCATTTGAAAGGTAACATCTTCTAGTTTCTGAAAATGGTCTGACTAAAACAGCCTAAATTTCAGCAGTTAAAACATGACTGTTTTTTTTTTCTTTCTTGAAAATAATCAGTCTTTTTTGAATAGCAGTAACAAAGACCTGCTTAAAAATAGGCATGTGTCATTGTTATATTTTTATTCTGCATCGTGTCAACCACACCTGCGAATAATTTCAGACTTCTAGGTATAACAGTTCTAGAGATATGGGAGTTTAAACGTCTGGAGTCACCAGCGTCTCTAAACCTCTCCAAATGTGCCAAATTATTCCAAATTGTGATTCTTGCTTTTACACAACAATTTTACCCCAAAAATCCCACCGGAGTAATTTTATGGCCACAAATAATTTCCCCCCCCCATTTTTTTAAATTTTCTTTTCTTATTATTTATCTAACAGTGTGCGATGATCCAGGATCGGATCTGTTTTTGTGACTTTACGCATGGCTCTATATCTGGGCTGCATTATTTAAATTAGCCATGCTTAGCATTGTTTTAAAGATAGTTTCATTGGTTACAGAGCCAAACATTGCCTGTGGTTTTAACCAATAGCAGCCGGACTAAATGAGGCATAACAGGAAGAGACTTGGCGTGCATTGCTCTCACAGACGGGGAGCGCTTGTTAAACTTTGAGGGCTGTGCCGGCGTCAAATCTCAACAGAAATGAACTGGGACATTTTTGTTTGTAGGCTGGAAGGTGAGGAAAACAAACATAACAAAGATTGCAAATATTTGAGGAAGCTAGGGCAGTTAGCAAGACAGTTAGCATTAGCTATAACCATCGAATTGTTCTGATTGTAAAAGCGGATTTTATGTGGCAATTTTCTCATTATGGGATGTTTTTATTACAAATATGCTGGATTACTTCTCATCTGTGGACTCTTAAGGACAAATGGAATATAAACAATCTAAGATTGGATTTATGATATGGCCTCAGGATCACTTCAAAGGTAGGATGTCTGAGCGTTATTCTAGAAATCTTTATCAACTGTGCTTTGCTGCTCATGGTTTCCATAAAATGACCTTTATGGTTGAATTGTGGAGAAATCTCATCTTTCTCATTGGTAAACTATTTTAAAGTGTACTGCTGTGTTTAATGTAAACATAGACACCAGATTAAGATTTTAACTAAACCTGGGGAATAATCCTTTTTAGGCATTTCAGCAAGATAAGGTGTAAAGTTTCCTCTGTTTTAACTTTGAAAAATAATCACTTTTGAACTGAATTGCTAATGGGATTTGGACATTAATATATTGCTGGTTGACAGTTTTGTGTTGTTTTTAATGAAAAAAGTCTTGACATTTTTCAGTGACTCAGAGTTTGATTTAAGAACAGTTAAAAATAAATCTCATTAATTGTTCTTAAGACTGTATCCCTTATGCTGTAATGGAACAGCGATCAAACAGCACTGTGTGTTATCAATCACTGCACAGAAATCTGATGTTTTATGAGATAACGTTGGCATACTTTGTCTTTTGGAAGAGCTCCAACCCAGTCACCATCAGTACTGTTGTCTGACGGAAATTCCTGTAGTCTTGATGCCAAATCTGTCAAAGAAAACAAAGTTATTAAAAAAAAAGTTCTCAGTAAACATTAAAAATCATTAAGACACTAAAAGCTAACAACAGCCCACGTCAGGAGGAAGTAGGAAACACGGCATCGTTGTCAAACGACAGTCATTTCTTTCCTGGAATTTTTCCACAATCTGTTGATGATGTTGCTAAAAAGAAGTTACAGGTCTGTGACAGCCAGAAATCTTGCTGGTTTCTGGGTGACCAAATACATATTTTCCATCATAATTTACAAATAAATTCTTTAAAAAAATCGTACAATGTGATTTCCCGGAAATTTTTTCCCTCATTCTGTCTCATAGTTGAAGTGCACCCATGATGAAAATGCAGAACTTGCACAATTAGTGGCGGACTAAATACTTTTTGCCCCCCCTGTATTTTAGCAAATTAATCCTTGTTCTCAGAAATAGTTCGTGTTCTGTTTTATAGCAGACATTAGATCATCATTTTTAAATGCTTTTAGCGTGTAACGTCATCATACTGGCTGTCCGTCCCTTCACTGAAAAAACATCGAAATGGGAAAAAATGAGCTTTTTCATCTTGTAGAAAACGAAATAAAAAAACTTCTCACCTCATATTCATCCATGTTGACCTCGTCAGGCTTAATCAGGTCTAGTTTAGCTCGTGCCACTTGCATAATGCTCTTACATCTGTAAGGGAGGCGAGACAGAAAGGAAGATGGATGAGTGCAAGCAAAGAGACGCTGAGTCATCGTGATGAAATGGTCCATGTTGCCCCAAGGCCCAAACACGGCCTAATGAATCACTCTTAAATGCCGAGAGGAGAAGTGAAACGCTCCTCCGGAGGCTCCTATTGAGGCCACATGCACGCATTCATCTAATTATCTTGCTCAAAATAGAGAAGAAGGGAGAAATCAATTTTGTTCTCATGAATATGGATTGAGGCCAACATGTAGAGTGGAAAAGTTTTAACAGACAGTGCAGCCTCTGTGTGACTTTTTAACCATGGAGGGGGAGAGTCCTCTGTTAAAACAAAGATAGTATAATGTATATTTGCAGAGTGGTCTAAATCAAACAGGAAGAGATGTTCGTGCAGAAGGATTTCAAGAGCAATTTAGTTGGATGTGTTGCTCTGCTGACCAGTCCAAACATGGCAATTTTCAGGACTCTGCTGCCCTCTGCAGGCCGTCATCAACAGCAAAGAATCTGCACCTGACCTACCGCCACAGGGCTGGATGCTTGGCTTTTTAACCCGGAGCACAAACGCTCCCAAATGGAAAGAAATTAGCAGCATAGAAAAAAATGAGGGGCAAGACTTTTCTTAAATAGCACCATCTTTGAAAGGAAAAAACAAACAATGAAATTAACCCTTGTAATATGGTCCTGGTCTATTTTCCATTAACTATCACCAAACTTCCTGCCTGCTTCTGTCCTCAAACTCAAGCCAAGGGATCCAACCTGATTTAAACTTGTAAACCTTTTAGCAGTGATGCTAAAAATCATCAAAACATGAAATACTGAAGGCATGTCCTGTTTGTCAACATCTCCCATTAAAAATGAAGACAGACTGTTCAGTATGACCAGTCATAACATTGATGCCATACTCATTTGTGTTTTCCTAATTTAGACCTACATAGCAGAATAAATTATACTAAAAAGATAGAGTGCAGACTTCATAGGTGTGCGCCTCATGTGGCCATGGTTGCTAATAGGATTCAACGACTTCGACAAAAATCTAAATTGTGATTATTTTCAACAAATATGAAGCTGAAGTGGTTTGTTGATGCCATTTTCCACGCTAAGGTTTTGTTTTTTGAAAATAAAACTGTAGCCATCTTGCATCAGAATTTCTCTGATGTAATGTCACTTCATATGAAGCTACACATATTTCAATGTTTCCTCAGCATCACATTGCTCTCCCCAGTGGTCAACAGGTGAGTCATACCACAGACAGATGTCTTCATCTAACAAAGCGTGAGTAATTCACATAAATGTCTAAACATTTAAATACAGCTGAACCTGCCGTGTATGATGGAGCAGGAGGGATGATTTCACTAAGCTGGTGACGATGGATCTGGTAGCGGTAGTAGGGAACATATTTTAAAGGATCATCAATGTTTCCTGACCAAGATAGATAACTTGATCAGACTATATGGTCAGTTCGATTCACAATCACCATTGCAGAAAACACGGTTTATAACATGACAATGGAAGTATTAATACTTTTAGCTGTTTTTAAGGTATTATGCAACAGTTTTCTCTTTGAATAGAAGTAAAAAGAAAGTGATTAATTTTATTAAAAACTCAGAAGAAATTCTAAACCAAAAACACAAATTTAAAAGCTTTAAAGAACAGAAAGGTATCTGGTAATCAGATTAATCTGCGTTGCGTTGTACTGTGGGAGTGATTCACAGCAGGATTCAAAGAACTGCGACAATGTGTAATCAGATTACTTAATGTACCTCTCATCAAAGGCCAGGTTTCTGTCTGCAAACTGTGTGAGCAGAGTCCTCTCCAGGATCTTTTTGGGCGCCTCGTTCTGGATGAAATACACGATGACGTGGTGTAGCCTGTAGTCCGTCTCAGGTGGCGAATCCTCCTGGGCAAACCTCAGCAGACGAGCGTATTCCAGCTTGATGGCCTGATCAGAGAGACGAGGCACAGGAACATCCATGATTCAAGTTGATCAACACGGTAAGGCGGAGATGCTTCTCTATTTATTCATATTAATAAATGACTACTTTAAAATAATAAAGATTTAAACTCAGCAACACATCTACATTTTTATAAATGTAAAGAAGAAACCTAAGAAATAAAGCAAACTATCTGCGCTTTACTTTAATGTTTTTCACTCTGTTAAAAGGTTGTGATGTTTATGCTGTATTTTTAAAGATCCATTGCAATATGTTAAAAAAGCATGAAGTTAATATTTTGGCAGTAATTATGTTCAAAAAAGTAAACCCATATAGATTTACTGCTTTTGTTTTGGCAAACCTGGTGGGTGTGAAGTACAGCTAATGAAACCCCAAAATTCAAGTTCTTAAAAGAAAAAAGAAAAAAAAAAAGGACCATTATGTCAAACAAGAAAATATGTTTTTTTTCCTCTCTTTTTAACAGATATGAACTAATTAAGTCATGGTGAAGTCAATACTTTGACAGCTCTTCAGTATCCAGCTCTTTGATCCATCATTGTTGAAAGGAAACGTTTTGTAAATGAAAATAAAAAAAAATTCAATCTAGAAATTAAAACCTTTTTTTCTTTTCAATTTTCATTTTTTCCAAACTTTTTTTAAACAGATCGCATATTTTATTTTAATTTTTTTATTTGTTTTTTCCTAGCTCCATGTTATGAATTGCCTTCTTTTTAACTGCGTTTCACCATAACTTCACTCCATTAAAGCCCTCCCTCTTTATCAATAAACAAGTTTTTGCTAACGGCTAGCAAACCAATAGATATGTGTTTTCTACAATCACTTCAGAGGAAGCCCCCCACCCCCCGAAAGTGAAAAGACTGATCTGTAAAGCACAATAATTTGAGAGAAACAGCAAAGTTACTCTCATAACTTTTGTTTTGATTAAGAAAATTTTAAGAGTTTTATCTGTGGATTGCAGTTTTTCCATTCACAAAACATGTTCTTTGTTTATAACAATAATGGAAGTAAATGTGTTGCATACTCCAGCAAACAGTCCCTTAACACATGTGAAACCATAAAAGGCCCTAGGTAAAGTAACAGGCTGTTCAGAAAGTACTGTATTCAAGCCAGTTATAGGAGTGGAAGGATAAGGTGTGCTGAACAGCTTTCAGATTAGAGTAAATGTTGCACAATTTAGAAATCAACCAGCTCCATGATGCTTTATGGAGCTAAACAGTGTGCTGGTGTTGGCCCACTATGTTCTATCAACTCTATAGATCAGCAACCTACCAGGAAATGTTGCTGACAAGCTTTATGCAGATATTGATTTTCTTTTCCCCTCAGCAGGACTTCCATCACTTAATGACCACTGACTGATTGAGCAGCAACACTTCCTGATCTAAACCCTGAAGATGTTTCTGTACTACTGAAAAGAGACTGAAACAAGCTCAGGAAAGACTTTCAGAAGACAGAGTTTTCTCTATTCCCATTTTTAAATCAGTAATATTCACATATAAGAAGATGAATTTGGGGTTTTCATCACTTTGCATGGGATGGATCATTATATCGGATTCACCTTTAAAAACTAAACTACTGCAAATATCCACCAGGATGTAGAAATGAGGACATAAAAAAAGGAAGTGAGAGAGAGTGGGATGAGGAGAGGTAAAAGGAGAGAGGTGGTACCTTAAAAAAGGCTGCCTCAGGCCCGTTCTTTTCATATATGCTGCTGGATTTGCCAATGGCCATAATTATACCCTGCATGTTGGGGGTCATCATTATCTACCCAGAAAGCAGGAACCAAGTTATAGAAAATATAAACCAAGTAAAACATGAAATATACACGTTCATGGCTCTCAGGCTGTGCTGTGCAGGGGTTAGGACATGCCAGCAGTCCATGCACTATTAGTGGCACAAACAAGGAGAAAAATGTGCATCACTCAGAAAAGATGTGTAAAAACCAGGCAGCGGACATGACCTACAGCCAGTTTCAAAGTTATTTGCAGATTCTAAAACAAACTGAAGCCAAATCATTTGGAATCTATTGTCAGAACTTATCCATATGACAAATCTCACATTTTATCTTTACAGCTGTTCCACTGCAGGATACAGATTTACCTGAGAACACTACACTGCATTAAACTTATGTTGTTGGTGTCATTTCCTGTTTTATCTGGTTTCAGTTCACAAACCAACATATTCCTAAATCTTCATGCAGTGGCAGACTTGACCAACACAATGAACTGATGGGTGTCTAAACTCAGCAGACATGGAGAGTACATTCAGAATACAAAAATTCACCAATTACAACCACCACAGAAAACACAAAAAATGTTCTGAGGTTCCTTCCCTATGAGGCAGATGAACAGGAAACACAAAGACGAATAAGGAGGCTGCATTCCAGATGCACTGATACTATGAAGTCACACAACAGGATGTGCTGAGAAGTCTAAAGAACAGTTACATTATAGATATTGACTAACGAACAAGGGCAGCCCAGGTGTGCCTCCTGTCTGTAAATGTTTGACCCACCCCACACTCCGTCCTAATTCGTCTCAGACTACAATGATTTATTAACATAATCGATTACATCAATTATGAAACTTTCCTAATTTTGGTACGTACTTAAAATGACATGCAGGTCAGGGCAGTAAATTGTTAATTAAATTCGATTCAGTTTATTTATATAGCGCCAATCTACAACACGTCTAACTTCTACAAAAGTGTATTAAACTGTAATAAACAGTAATACTTTTGACATGTCTGATCTTCCATTACTCCTCTGGTTAGTTGTAAAGGGATTAACATGGCCACTAAATACACAGGACTGAAGCTAAACAGAAGCCTGAAGCAGCCTGCCCTGCTCTTGTAGCTGATACTAAAATGCTTTAATCTGCATTAACAGAACTGTTAACATTAGTTAACAGAATTGTTTTTTTCTGCATTGGAGGTCTGCTCACTGACTTCCTGTTAAACATAAGTATAGTCGAGTTCACGTATCAGTTTATTTGAGATAAAAAATTATGGATAAAAGACTTGGTATCACCAAAATAAAATAATCTGTAGCCCAACCCCTTAAACCAGGCCATCCAGGTACAGACCAAAATTTCTAAAACATGTTTTAAAATGCTTTTTTTTCGACAAGTACTTTTTTTTTTTTTTTTAAAGGAGATTTAAAATTCAACCTGACATGTGTGACTCTGCAGGAGTAATGCAACAGCAGATATAAATTTTTAGCCCCACCCCCCTAATGGCTGGTCTAATTGAAAACTAGAGGCTCAGTTCTTTCCAAAGAGGGGTCGGATCTAATAGTGCGACCATTTCAGGCGATGTAACTGGAATGTGCTACATAAACTTACTCTGTTATTCTTATTTTCTACTCAGTTTGGTGATATTATTGGTAAATTTCAATGAAACTATGGCTAAATCATAGTAGCAAAGGCTTTGTCTTATGCAGAACGTCTCCAATAATGTAAATCAGCATATTTGTCTGGCTAGATTCCCTTTTATGAGTGGAAAAATGCATTTTTGAACTTTTGAAATTGTGCCAACTAAAACCTTTGAGGAACAAACATGCTTCTACCTATTCAGTCCAAATTTGCTTGACTTATAGTTGAAATGTGGATTTATAAAGTCTGAGGGTTCATTCAAAGTTTCAAATGGGCTTTCATGGTGTTTTGCAGTGTTTGTGTAAAAAAAAAAATGGCGAGGCTAAAAAAAGTTTTAATTTTTTTCTTTCCTTGATCACATATTATATTGAAAATATTATTAAATAATAATATAAAAAAAAATTTAAATAGTAGTTCCACCTGAAAAATATTCCTCCACGCCATGCTGTCAAACAAATACAAACAATTGTAATTCCAATGTATAGTTTGGGAGTTGAATTTTCTTTAATTCACATATGTAATTTCAGGTGGAATTTGCTGTTAAATTTTGCTGTTAAATAGATCATCAGAGCTCATGTTAAAACTAAAAGATACGTGAACTACTTCGCCAGGTCATCAGGGGTTTTGCTGCTTAGTTCCAGCCGTTGACCTCTGTTGTTCTTGTCAGTTCTTTGAGGAACAAAATAATTCTGTGAATTTATTCATGATTCTGAGATATTATACAAAATTCACATTATAACCATTTTGTAATGGTCACACGTGTCCTGAAGCCTGTGTATGAGATTAACCAAAGGAAAAACAACACCTTACCCCTCTTAGCTAATGTGCTCAGAATGCTCCATCTGAAAATCCTTCCCCTTTTGATGTCATAAGGAGAAATAAGAAGCCTAACGGTAAAGGTCCGGCCTTCTTTTTATGTATCATTCTGTGCTCTCAGACAATCTCTACAAACTGACTGGTCGTCATGGTTGTGGCTTGGCTTTATTGGCTGCAGTTGCCATCAGTAACCATGAAATAACATTGATCAGCTGACTAATTTACATACACAATATTGATGTGCTTTGCATGGACCATTTTTTGTCAAATGTTAGAGCTAAATGGGCAGAGCATGAGATGGAGCCCTAGATTCGAACTTTGAGGTACAGCTGCTGTTTTATACAGCTAATTGTTTTTTTTTTTTTTGGTGCTTCTGAGGTATCCGCCGATTCCTATCCACACTGTTAAAAATGTTTAGCCTACATGCTTTATGTTGGCTGAGAAACAATAGTTAATCTGGTGTAGATCATCTTTTATGTGTCCCTTGGCAACATTTAATTAGGTAATCAAATTTAAAGGAATACACACTAAAGAAAAAATAATTACTGAAAATGTCCACCATTTTTCCACAATAAAAATAGACTCTTTAATTGATCAGTAATGTTATGATTTATATGTTCCTTCGATGTTGAAGATGGCGTTGTAGCTTTTAAGCCCAACATCTTTTCTGTCAGTAGCTATAGGAGGAATGAAAAAAGGAAGCGCACAACAAACAGCCCAGATAAGAATAAAGGTTTGTGATAAAAAGTCCACGAGATAAAAGGTCAGAGAAGCATCATGAAAACCCGTCCCTACAAACGCAGCTGCTTTTTGCCAGAGCCAAACGTTGATTGGCTGAAGTAGAAATGATTCTTAAGGCTTCTGCACAAACAGGTTAGTCTGAGTGCACATTTCCAGCCTGATGCCAAGTCCAGACTCAGCCAGCAGAAAAAAGTATAGAATCATATGTAGAGCCATGTGTTATATGGACAGCCATAAACTTCTGTGCAAAAAGAGACAGAAGAAAAGCTCAGATAGAACTGGAGCTACCTCGTCATCATAACCACCCTCCTCTGACTGAATCACAAAGGTGCCCACATGAGGAATGGCCACTTCTACGGTGCGCTGGCAAGGGGACTCATCCTCTGTGACCAGGTCAGAGGGTGTGGCACAAGCAGCACTCATCTGGGCCTCAGGCTGAAGGGTGGAGGGGGAGGGGGGTGACTGGAAAGGAAGTGTAACAAGTGAACAGGGAGGACAGGTGAAAGGTCAAGACATGTTAAAAGGAGGAGGAATAAAACTAGGAGAAATGTAAGGATGCAGCTAAAAAGTCCGACTGCCCTACTCTTAACATTTAAATGCTTAACTACATTTTAGACTGGAAGCCTCAGATCTTGCCATCAGTAGCTCTTGCCCTCTTTTTGTACTTTAATCTAAAATTTTCTTTGATTCAACTCAAATACACTAAGAATATCCCAAAATGTTAAATGGGAAACCTGAAGATGAACAAAAAGACGTGAATTGAGTTTCCAACATGGCTGCAATGGGAATAGTATGGAGATTATTAGACCCATAACACACATTGTTCTGTTAAATACCTTATTATTACAAAATTTGAATTCTTTTAATACTTAGATAAACTGGAAGAAAACATGTTTTTAGCATGCATTACAAACATTTGTGGAATCACAAACAAAGAATTGTTTTAACTTGCAGCTAGAAACCTAATGCTGTGTTCATACTGAACGCGTTTTGGACGTCAAAGCATCTGATTTACATACTAAGTCTAAGATGCACTGCCGGACATCTTGACGCTGTTCCTCAGAGCATTTTGGCATCTGGGCGTTGGAATGTCGACACTGGAGTTCAGAAAATGTATCTTTGCCGCTCCTGGAGCGTCAGCCAATCAGAAAAGCTGATCCAGGAGTTTTCTGGGTGAGACAGACACTACCTGCGTCTGTCATTGTTTCTGCTGGCATTCTGCATATGAAAAATAAATGAATACCAGGGAGTTAAACTCTAAAGGTTAAAAAAAGCTGGAAGAATGGATTGTTATGTAGAAGGAACAGAGAGTGAGCTCTGATCATTATTGCTGCACTAAAATGTTTTTATGAACTATGGAGAAACAGTTTATAAATACCCAAATGAACTAGAAATGTTAAAACTATAGATGAAAAATGTTCGATTGTATATTCTGGTGGTTCCTTTTTTTTTTAAACTATAAACTCTTTCTATTCCCTTCCAGCAACTACGAACGGCCGCAGAGAGCTTTCAGCGGGGATTTCCAGCAGTACCTCCCGGTGGTATGTTAGAGGTCTGGTGCTCCAAACAAGGCCTGCATATTTTAGTGGCATCATAATCCTGATGAACAGAAGATGTTTGGAGGTGGACTTTCTCACTTAAAAATGTGTTAAAACTATTTTTCCCAACTCATGAAGTAAATAAAGCCAAGCTAATCTCTAGCTTGAAGCTACAGAACAGAGCAGATAAACAACCAGAACACCGAGCATCCAGACTGTCAAAGCAACTTCATACATTTGATTCGACATCCAGAGTTCGTCAATTAAGCGTTGTTGACGCCCAAAACATGTTCAATGTGAATGCAAATAAGAGTCTGAGGTTTAACTGATCATGTCTATCTGAAAGGCTCTATGATTAAGAAGCAGTGAGACGGGTTAGCTAATAAAAAAATCTATTACATTTTAGTCATTAGAAATTATTTTCTTGAAACCTCTAACCTATGAAACCTCTAACATGGAATTTGTTTTCGAGTACTCATTTTTTATCCTTCTCTCTCCAGACAAATTCCATACTTTTCCAGAGTTTGCAGCAGCGTGAAGGAACTCGGACGGATTATTAATTCAGCAGCTTTTTCTCCCACATAGGACTAAAATGACGATGCAACATTTAACTTCACTGCTTATTAAAGCACAGCCAGGTACTGGGTGTGTAAAGGTTTGGATTTGTGGTGGATTTTCTCCTCCTCTGGGTATTACATCTAAGAGCTGAAATATAATGTCTTTGTAACAGGGAGGGGATGTTTAGACAGGATCAGAAGCTTCAGCTGTAACACCATCCTGCACTAAATGAGTTAGCATCCTATACATACAGCATTTAACAGGACTTCCGGGCTCCTCTCCTCTTGCTCTGCAGCAGCTCTAGAGATCGCTCTCTCCGTGTCTTCCTGCAGGTGCTTCAAGTCGTTTGAAGGTGACGGTTGCTCCAGGTACTCTGGATCCTGCTGTGGTACTGAAGCGCAGCAGCAGACAACAGAGATAAGTACAGGAGATTTAGGAGTGTTAAAAAAAAGCAAAGATGCCAAAATCCTTCACTCCAATGTATTGTAATTATTAGGCTTGTCCCGATCCGATCCCGATCCGATCCACGTATCGGATCGGGACATGCTCGGATAGGCTGGTATCGGCCAGTATCGGTATCGGATCGGAAATCCAAAAACAATATCGGTATCGGATCGGAAGTGCAAAAACCTGGATCGGGACATCTCTAGTAATTATACTTTAAATCCACTTTCATTACCCCTACCAGTGTTGTCTGGAGGGCTGGACTCCATACTCATGGGTTGTGGAGAAGAAGAGGAGGTGGAAGTGCTGGATGGCGCCACTGTGGCGGCTGCTGCAGCCAGGGCCAGCTTCTCTTGTTGGGCCTTGCGAGCCTGCATGGCGTCCCATTCTTCCATCTCCTTGTCAAACTGCTCATTATCCTCTTTCACATACTGCTTGAGGTCTGGAGGCAGTTTGTCCATGCCGCTGAGGATCTGGCCAGTCTCTTTATCAAACTCCTCTGCAACAGAGAGGGATAACGATGATCAGGAGAAGTTCTGGAACAATATCCCCACTAAAGCCCAGTCACAACTTGACGATTCAGACCAGCGTATGCCTCAACATATTTGACGTACTCCAGACGACAGTTAAACGTGTTTCTAACATACAGCTACTGTATAATAGCGTATTTGCAGCATTTTGGTATAAAAGGGAGCTCACAAGAGGAAGCTGTCTGTACTCCTCCAGACTCCATCCCCATCATAGGGTGAGGGAGAAGGTGAGTGTGATGGATCCTCCCTGCGTTCACACCCACGACCAAAAAACTTTCTAGCAGACATGATGCTGAATCAGCTGCAACTGCAAACCTTCTTTCTTTTTTATTTCTTCTTTTTTGGGGGGGATTAATACCCAGCCAAGTTAATATACCTCAATCAAAGACATCTTTTTATGAAGTTCTGGACTCATTATGAATAACCTACTTATATGACCAACATTGAAAAAATACATAGAAAGTTCAGCACATGTCAGCGCTTCAGGAGATTCTGGGACGTTGGGCATACGCTGTCTAAATCGTCAAGGTGTGACAGGGCCTTAAATGAGTGGCTTCACTCCTTAGTGGTGGGTTCTGAATAGTGTTGCGCCGATGCCATTTTTGGCCCCGATAAATGGCTGTACAGTATCGGCTGATGCCGATACCATATTGATACCATCTGTTTGAAATTTATATGTGTGTGTGTATATATGAAGAACTGCATTCTACTTGCATGTAAAATAACTGCCATCATGGCTTTGTCAAGCTGCTGCTATCTAAGAATTGATGACTGAAGAATGATAGGTGTGCTACACAGACATATACGCTGGAATAAAACAATATTTTTAACTGCTGCACACAGAGAGAGGAAACGATGGGGAAACTACCCCCCCCCCCTGTGAATCCCATGCATACCTTTTTGTTTTTTTAAAAACAGATATAAAGAAAAAAAAAAACAGGGTTGTTTCACTAATAAAACCTGAATACACTGTATACTATGGGTGTTTGTTTCAGACTTTATATCGTATGTGATGGAAACAGAAACTAAATCCTTGTTTTTACCACCATTCTGGACGATAAACTCTCCCGTTTGCTGTTTTCAGTCACTAAATAAACAGAAATATCTCTATATTTAACCAAACTGTTCCCCTTTGACCTTCTACATCATTTGAAGTCAGTAAAGTTAAACAACTTTATATCCTCCCAATTGTACTGAATCTGGTGCTCCGTCTGTGCCAAATTACAAATTTCGGACGTATGCGACCTAGCGGCAAGGCTACACACAGTCCACGCTCAAGGACGGCGTACCCTTGTTCCCAATGCTACGAGTATAAACCAAGATTAAAACACAGATCACCTAAAGAAGTACAATCATCTGCTGTTTGCTGGAGAATCCAACTGTGCAGTAAAAACACCTTCAGTTACAGATGATTAGACCACAGACTGGATGTTAGCCCGTTTGTACCTTCTATAAGAAATGGCTTCTTGTCATTAATGTACATGAGACAGTAGGCACTGGCATTGCGGTAGCCTCCAAAGGAGTCCCTGACCAGCTCCTCCCAGGATGACTTAGTGACTGAGATGTCGTTGTACTTCATCCAGCAGCGCTGATGGGGGTCGTAGATGTAAGCCCAGTAGTGGCCTGCATTGGCCTGACCTTCATGGACCAGAACTGCATGAAGCCGGTAAGGAACCTGCGAAAGAACACAGGACCTTAGAAATACAGATAAACAGAACAGGGAGGAGATCATTTTGTCTTCCAATATAATGTGGCTCACCTGCATCATAGATTTGTCTGAGTACATAAGCTCAATAGTTCTGTGGATTCTGGTTATGCTGCCTTGCAGATCTGATGAGAAGAACATCAACAAATTATTTAATTCTAAACTTCACTGTTGATAAACATAAAGGCTGAAAAACAAGCAAAAACATATGCAGTGACCGATCTTGAATACATTCACAGAGTATTTAGAAAGGTTGACTCGGTACTTGAGGAAAAAAAAAATAAATTAAACACAATTTGAAATAAGGCTGTAACAACATAACTGACAAAAATTGTGGCAAATTTTTAGAAGGGAACTATAAAGGCAAAAACCTTAACAGAGCACGAGCGGAGTTAGCTCATCTTAAAACATCTGTGGCGTACACGGGAGTATTTGGAAGATTTTAGTTGCTTCTCACCTTTATAACATTTTATTTGTCAATTACATCATGCTTCCATATGACTGTCAAAACACTGCATAAATGCAGACATTTAAAGCTGCAGTAAGTGTCTAGTAGTTCCCATTGATTTTGAAGTAAAGAGGGGAGAACGGCGCTCGGCTTATCGCACCATGACGTCACTGCCGGAAGATGTCAGGAGTGAGGTGTTACTATATTTGGGCAAAAATGGCCGCTGCCGGACTCAGTGATTGTGACGGAAATTATTATTATTATTGTTTTGTTTTTTTAACTCAACGCTAAATTCATTAAATCAATGCGAACATATTAGTTTTAGGTATAGATGATTATTGCTTGCTGACCGGACTTTTCCTTTAAGTCTTTCTTAGTAACTTTGTGGTGGCGACTCCATGCCACAACAATCACAGCACCAACATAACAAAAACTGCTCTTAAAAAATATACACTTTCAAAAAGGCTTCTTGTCCACTGACATGAATAAGTATGATTTATAGCATTAAACCATATTTAGTCATATCCCCTGATATTTTTCAATCAAAACTGGAGAAAAGAAATAAAAGGAAAAAGAAAAGACATAAAAAAAATATAAATCCTGATGATTCTACAATTTTGGGTATTTAAAACATCTTTCATTCTAATTTATCTTTTAGATGATAAGGCCAAGTTCAATCACAGGCCGTTATCACGATGTTGAGCCCAGTAACAGGAAGCCTACCACGGGTGTCGTTCTCCACTTCACTCCTCCAGCGATGTAAGCAGCCTTCCAGCACCCTCAGCTCTTCTTCAGTGATGTGCCGTGGGGCAGGGTGCATTGGGAGGTCTGGTGGAAGCCGGGACTGGGTGAAGGGCTTATGAACAGGTACTCTCTGCTGCTGAGCTGCAGTGGGAGCTGCAGTGGAAGCAGAAGCAGGACCTGAGCTCTCTGGGGGAGGGAGGGAGTCCGGCTCAACTGAGCTGCTAGGTGAGAAAAAGAAAAGAAAAGAGGGAATTCAGCAAAAGGTTAAAGGGTAATGTAGCTGTAGCAAATGGAGTAATGTAGCTAAGAGAGTTAGCACTGTTTGGACACCATTAAATATAATCAAATATCTAAACTGTAACAGACAAACGTTTAAAAGCGGTTTCAAAGGGGAAATGCAATGTTTGGACCAAACTAACTTAATTCACAAGATTGTGTCTTAGTATTATCAATAATTATATTACAAATGTGAAAAATATAAACGTATAAGAAAAAACGAAGCTCTGTTTTATAACTTTTTTGTAAGGGCTCCACCATGTTGCAGTACCTGAACGGTGACGTCACGGGGTTGATTAACGCTAAAGCTAAGAACTGAATCTACCAGCGATACATCACAAACATAGAACATGTTTTTTTTAAAAGTGTACAAATTGGCTAAAATGACAAAATAATAAAAGGAAGTTGTATTATTTTAGCAGTTTTGTCTGTAAATAAAACAAAGTCAGAAGTTTCCTTTTATTAACCTCTAACCAGGTCTTTTCTGATCGTTGCACCCTGGCATGTGTGATGGTCTCAGTGAAAAGAATTATGAGTAAAGTAAAGATGTAAAGATGTAATAGCCTGAATGAAGTGTTTTTGTTTGTAACCGGGTCTATCTTAATAAACTGCTGATGCCTGGATCACATGGATAATTACAGTGCCCATATTTTCCCCTTTCCTAGACGCCTTAATAATCCTTAAGGCTCTTCAGATAATCTACTGAGAAAATCCTGCTGTGTGGTGAGTAAAGAGTGAGCAAGCATGCTTTTAAGGACATTGGAAAAACTGAGACTTTAAGCCGGCATCTTGGCCTTATATCGTACTTTGTGGTGTTATCCGAGTCAGACCAGACCGCAACTACTTGGATGTGACGTGTAGTAAATAAGAAAGTATTTCAAAGGAAAACAAAAATACCCCTTCATAACATAGTGGCGAGTAGAGCCGCTGCTCGCTCTGCCTTTAACCATCGTCTTTACTTATTGTAATGTTTTTATTGTTAAAAATACCCCACAAAGATTAGAAATCAGCTCTTCCTCATTGGTCATGTTTACTTGCTATGGTGAGATTTCCATTCTAAAATCAGACTTTCAGATGGAAAATACATTACAGTGTAGGATCAAACCAGTGTTATCCACCATATTCTGTCCCCAGGTGTTGGTTACCCTGCTTGAAAAACCAAAGACCTGTGGAACCCTGAAAATTCGGTCCGTTTTTCAATGTGTGTACTTGTGCGTTTTCCATGTGCTCGTGTACTCAAAATACATCATCAGCCTCAGCCCTAGTGCTGTTCCAATTCCCAAGAACAAGAAGACCGAGAACGGAAAAAGTCCCTGGATGTCGTTCTTGCCCCTCCCTCTTTACCCAGCATGCATAGGATCAGACTTGTCTTTTCTTGAGATTGACAGCTGTCCCAGCATGCACCACGGCAGCAGCAGCTTCCAGGTTAGCACTTACAGAGCTCAGAGTATTAAGTTAAATGTTCTCTTTTCAGTTGTTCTACAAAAGTAAAGTTTAAGATCATTTTAGGTTAGAACATTATGCACTAAATCAGTAATTGGGCCATATAGTGACGCTTAAAAGTATAATTTAAAAAAAAGTTTCAGATTTTGAGAGGACCTCCAAGGCGTGGGACTAGAACTCAGAATCTCTGGATTCCAAGTGCTGTGGCCTAATTACTAGGCCATACTCCCCTATCTAAATCTGAGTTGTACATCCCTCCACTCCATGAATTATTCTAAATTAAGAATTTTTAAGAAGCAAAACAACAAAAAACAGCATGATGGAAAGGTTTGTAATGCAACTTACCTCTGAGGTGGTAGCTGTTGACCTGTTGTGCCACCAGGGGGAGCCGATGTGTCTATATCCTCCACTGGGGAGGTACACACAGGCTTACTGGAGGCAAACTCCATGGCATACTGGAGGACATCTGCCAGAGGAAACCTCTTGGGGCCTGAACCATAACTCAAATATCTGAAAGGAAACAGAACAGAGAGCCAAGGTCACCAAGATGGAGGGAAACACCTGGGAGAGGGGAAATAAACAGAGGGGGCAAAATGGCAGACGATGAAAGGTTGCAGGCAGAGGGAAGAAGGTTTCTATGGAGGCTCTGGTGACCTTGGCCAGGATCAACAGTTTTTTGTTGCTTACCTCTCCAGCCGCTGCTGCAACAGCATCAGATGCTCCTTCAGCCGTCTGATCTCCTCCCTCTTAATTCTGGTTATTTCCCTGTTTCTGTCCATGTATCTAAAGGACGCATAGAAAGAGGAAATTATTACCTTTAGACTTCAGCTCAGTAAACACTTTGATAAACTGGTAGTTTTCATCACCTGTCCATGTACAGCATGGAGGGAAACTCTAGCTTATTGTGGATCTTCTCGGGCCGTCCCAGGGCTTGATTGAACTCAAATCTTGATAGTTCAAAGGTCAACACAGGAGGGAGTTCTGTGAACCAGTGCTGGAATAAAATGTGATGTCACTTAGTGAAACGCAAAATAAAAAAAAGCCAGACACATTTTACTCCTACTTCACCAACAGTTTTGGATTATTCTATAAAGATAAAAAATTAGTGATTGTAACCAACAGATTCCAAAAGAGGAGAATGTGCAGCCAGGACTGCTTTGATTTCTGTCCAGATGGAGCTTGGTTATTAAAGGCTTTATACAAGAGAAGGATGATTTTAAATTCTATTCTGGATTTAACAGGAAGCCAATGAAGAGAAGCTAGGATAGGAGAGATATGATCTCTCTTTTTAATTTTCATCAGAACTCTGGCTGCAGCATTTTGGATCAGCTGAAGGCTTTTAACTACAGTTTGTGGATCTATTCTGATAGTAAAGAATTACAATAGTCAAGCCTTGAAGTAACAAATGCATGGACTAGTCTCTCAGCATCAACCCTGGACAGGATATTTCTGATTTTTGCAATATTCCGCAGATGAAAGAAGGAAATTCTAGAAACCTCTTTATTGGGATTTAAATGACAGGTTCCTGATCAAAAATAACACCAAGATTGTTTACTTTATTAACTCAGATCAATCTAATCCCATCCAAATAAACTTCTTTTTCAAAGACTCTGGTCCAAAAACTATAAATTCTATTTTGTCTGCATTCAGGAGTAGAAAGTTAAGAGTCATACAGTTTTTTATGTCTCCAGACATGCCTGTAATCTATGTAATGGGTTAATTTTATCTGGATCTGTAGACAGATATAGCTGGGTATCATCAGCATAACAGTGGAAATTAATCCCAGCTGTCTAATAATTCAACCAATTGGGAGCACATATATAGTAAAGAGAATTGGTCCTAGCATTGATCCCTGTGGTACTCCACAAGTAACCCTGGAGGATGAGGAAGATTTATCATTAACCTTGAAAAAAAAAAAAAACTGAAATTGGTCAATTTAAACCAGTCTAGTGCTGTTCCTTTAATTCCTACAAAATATTCAAGTCTCTCTAAAAGAAAATTATGATGAACTGCAGGACTGGGATCTAACAGGACAAGTACAGATACAAGTCCATTATCTGAGGCCATTAGAATATCATTAGTGGCTTTCACCAGAGCTGTTTCAGTGCTATGATGAGCTCTAAAGCCAGACCGAAACTCTTATAAAAAGTTCATTATGGTGTAAGTGGTCGCGCACTTGTTTGGCAACTACTTTCTCAAGAAAGTTAGATAAGAAAGGAAGACTGGATATAGCTCTATAATTGACCAAGTCATCTGGGTCATGGTTTCTTAAGTAAAGGTTTAATTAAAGCAACCTTAAAAGCCTTTGGTACATATCCATGTAACAGGGAGAGATTAATCTAATCTAAAATGGAGGAGGAGATCAAAGGGAAAACCTGCTTAAAGGACCTGGTTGGAACTGGATCTAAAATACAAGTTGAAGGTTTAGATGAAGACAATAGTTTTGCTAACGGATTCCATGGCTAAATCAAACGCTGCCTCACCTTCCAGAGATAAACCAATCATAGTAAGAGGAGTGTTAATGATCTTATTTTTAACAAAATCAATCTTATTTATAAAGAATCCCACAAAATCATTACTGCTAAGACCAGACGGGATGGAAGGTTCAACAGAGCTATGGTTCTAGGTGAGTTTGGCAACTGTATTAAGAGATATGAAGGATTATTCTTATAATCCACTATTAATGAGGAGAACTTTGCTGCTCCTACTTTATGAAGGGTCCTCTTATATAGCAGTAAACTATTTTTCCAGATTGGGTAGGATTTCCATAGGCATGTATAGCGCCACTTTCTCTCCAGTTTTCTAGCATTTTGCTTCAGAGATCGCAGCTCTGCATTAAACCAGAGAGCAAACATTTTGTATTCTAAGATTTTTTAATTTTAAAAGTAGGCAGTATGCAGAGAACTAGTAACCCCATCAACAAAATCATCAACCGGTGAAGGAGCACAAGCTAAACTTTTGCCGCGTACAGCAATGCTCAGCGACACAGAGGAAAGAGAAAGTGAAAAAGATTCTTTTTAAAATTTAAAACTGCACTATCTAATAATGATATGCCAAACTGAAACCTTCTTTTGGGGGAGGAGAACCCTCTTACAGTAATCCTGAAAGTTATTAAAAAGTGGTCAGAAAGGACAGGGTTGTGAGGAAATATTGTTATTTCTTCACATTCAATGCCATACGTCATGAGATGAGAACATTGTATATGCTTCTCTGCTCCACATGCATGTTTAATCTATGAAGTGATATTAAAAAAAAAACCCACTTCCTGGTTAAAGCAAAGTCTGCCTTTTGATCACTGCCCATTTCTGCATCAATCTAAGCTGATTCAAAGGTGAAGGCTTCTAAAGGAAGTAGTTGGGCTGTTTGGTATACTGTGTTGATGCTGCTGACTAATCAAGGGCTGCCTGTCAGGGCGGCTGATGACACCCTGTTTGAAAAAACATTGATGAACCCATCAGCTTTGCTCAGTACTTTCTAAGGCAGCAATGATGCATTGCATCAGCCTTGCTTACAGGTTCTACTTGTTTCTCAGTGTTGGAACAGAAAGGTCCTATTTAATAATGAAGGCATATTCTCCAGATGCACTTTGCCGAACATCTCTCTGCATTAAAACATCACTTTTAGTGATTTACATTTCTCTAATGTTTCACCAACACCTTGATCCTAAGTGATGCCAGAGGATTTGTCTCTACGCACTCCAGCTGTACCTGGACCTGATAATTAGCTGCTGCCAGCTGCTCTGGGACAGCGAAGTGAAGGCTACAGCAAAGCAGAGGGCAAATCCAAAATAGAGCAAGTGTCACAAAAAAGCCAGAGTTCCAGAGAAGCAATCTGACAAAGTTCTTCAGACGTGTATTTTCACCAACTACTATTGTTCATTTCCAGAGAGGTTAAACTTAACTCAGAAACTCCAGTTCTGATTCCTAAATATAGAACTAATGTTTTCCTGGAATAAAACATTTCCTATGCTTAAAAAACAAACTGATATATCTTCTTTCATAAAGTTGATTAAGAATTAGAATAAGAATGAAAGAATAAGAATGAAGATATGTTGCAAAAAATCTCACTAAAACAACAATTTTAACAAATAATTATAACGGCGCGCATTTTAGCTTTTAACTGACACCAAAACCTGCTCACAACGCTTTAAAGGAGACAAAAAAGGATGCACCCAACGAGTCAAATTCAGCGTTCAGATCAGCAGGAAGAAGTATTCACACCTCATTTCATCGCTTACCTCTTGACCAGATCTGGCTGAGTTTTCAGCCGAGTGAAGTGACTCGATCTCCCCCTCCACCATCGCTGCTTCCAGACATTCATGGAGGTCCTTGAAGCCGTTCACCTGCAGGGGGTACTGACCAAACATCTCTGTGTTTTCAAATTTTTTACCTGTGTAATCCCAAACAGCAGAAAAAAAAACTGAGTTAAGATCTGAAACAATTATTATTATAACTTTCATGTTAACTTAGCATTAAGATTAGATCGAGACAAAATCCTGAATTTATTCTCTGTGTGCCAAAATAAATCAGAACTCTCGAGCAAAATATCAAAATCAGGGGCCCCTGCTACCAAACAATGATAACATGATTCATATAAATAGATACATAAAGGGACCGTTTCAAGAGGGGTGGAACTAAAACAGATGTGCAGGGGGTGCAGATCTAGAACAACTTTCTAAATGAAGAAAAATTCCAATCACTCAAAGTTCAGCACCAGTGATTGTTTAGGGCTGAATACAGATATTATTTAATCCATTAGACAGTTTGGATTTAGAAATGTGTGGCCATTGAAAAACATTCAAAAGAAAATAACTTCCGCCAACCCGTCCACCAAACATGCTCAGCATGCTGGTTCCCTGGAGCATTTCAGATGGTCTTAAATCTTGGATAATTAATCAGGAGGGTTTTGCCTGATTCCATTAAAATGTTCTGTAATCACATCATGTGGTCTTAGAAATTTCTGGGAAAAAAATTCTGACTTTTCAGAGAGCAATTTTCTTTGGTCCATTAAACCTATAAGATTAGAAGCTGCTTAATCCTTGATATAGACAGAGGGTTAATCGCTGCCCACACTTTTCCTTATAACATGAATCTACGCCACATCATTTACTTAAATAGTTCAGTCTGTTTAAATTTCAAAGCTATACACAAAAAAGAGGTTACTAGGAGACAAAAAGATAAAACCTAGCCAATGTCATATAAATCAGAGCCACTGCTAAAACAAGATTAAATCGAACTAATAAACAAATGATCTGTTTCAAAACAAAGATCAAACATATAAATGGTCCTATTTTTATGTTATCACTAATATTTTAAATGCATTATTCAATTCCAAAGAACATGGCTGTTTCTCCATGAGCTTAACACACCTTCAACTTTTATAAATGAATCCCTAAATCCAAGTCTAATAAAACCTGTGAAATCTTTCTCTATCCTCCTGTTGTTAGCCTGAGCTGATTCTATTCGGAGCTCCTGGGATGTCTCTATTTGCTGCTGCAGCCTGTTTATACAGGGACACTGCTAGACAACTGTTATGCTACGTTCACACCAAAAGCAGCAGGAGCAGCTAGTTTACATGCAAAGTCAATGGTTGACGCGCGTCAAGGCGCAGCAAAACGTCCTGCAGCACGTCTTGAGCCGCAAACGCAGCTGCTGCTTGAGTTGGAAAAATTGAACTTTTGGTGCTTGATGCGCCACATCAAATGAATCAAAGAAGGTGATCTGGGAGCTGGCAGGTAGAAAGACACAGCACTGCTGATGATACAGATCACTATGATCACTCCTCTGAAACAATTTAATAACGCCTAAATTAACTTAAAATGCCGAAATCTGTCAGCAAAACATGTTGCTTTTATTATCCTGGTGCCTGCAGTTTGGATTACTAACATGAAAACCGCTTTGTGCCTGGAATCCAGAGGTTCTAGGTTCAAGCCCCACTCCCACGGACTTCACTATGGGTCCCAGAGCAAGACGCTTAACCTCACACTGCTCCCCGGGCACCAAACAATGGCAGCCCACTGCTACCTAAGGGGATGGGTTAAATGCAGAGGTGAATTTCTCCAGTGCGAGATTAATAAAGTTCAAATATTATAATATTTTTATGTGTGCACACTAACATCTTGATTCTGTTTATTCAGTTTATTCTCATTCTAACACATAATAAAGAGTTAATAGTCATTTGACTTTCACATTTCATAGAGTTTGAAATGACAGGTTGTGGCACACAGGCTGTCAGGATTCCATTTCCTTTGTATTAAAACACATCACTCTTTTAAAGTAGTATGATTCCACTCATGGTCATTTATATAGTTCTGCTGTCACTTTTTCTGGACTATTTAAAAATCTGCATTAAGGTCTCAACACCAACCCCTAATGATGGTCCCTGGTCCAACACACACAGATGAGGCATTAAAGAACATTTTATGAGCAGCAGAGTCCAGCTTTAGGTGGCTCTGAGCCAGTATTTTGGTGCATAATAAATACAATGTCAATCAGCCATCAAGGTCTCTCACAATCAATGTAACTGCTCTGCTGTTTTACATGGAGCCCATCTCATTAGAACAAAGTCACCTTTCATTACTGGGGGCAAGGACTCACTTGCTTTGTGGATGCTGACATCAGAGCAGAGCCAACCAAAGCTAAATTTATCTGGGATGCTTTAGCACCAAGTCAGATTTACGCTTCATTTTTGTAAATTAAATACTTTATCTCACCTTCTAACACACCAACAGCAAGGAAGCGGCCGTAGAAAAGCTCCACCATTGGATTCTTTGGCTTCTCTCCCACACTGCAAAAGAATTTAATTTCATAAAATACAAGACAGACTTCATTTTTACACCAAGCCTCAGCATTAGGGTAGCTTATTTAAACCAGTGAGTTCAGAGCTTTTAACTATTCAACACTGATGTTCTCTCATCAAAATCTCAACCTTTGTGTCAACTTGTTCATATTTGCATCTTCTGCTGCTTTTAGAATTGATTTAAAAACAGTTTCCACCCACAATTTTACAGTGACTATACACTGCAAAAAAGGAAAATCTATACAAGTGTAATAAACTTGAATTCAGCATTTTGGTCTTATTACACTTG